AACTGACCTGTTTTGGACACACCCCATTAATATTGATATTTTGCGCGTATTTCCACATGTACTTATCATGGATTGCACCTATAAGACTAATAGGTATCGTTTCCCACTATTGCAAACTGTGGGTGTATATAAATGCCGAGAAGGAAGACAATTACACATGGGCATTGACTGCATTGAGGAGTTTGTTGGATGATAATTGTCTTCCTGGTGTTATTGTCACCGATCGAGAGTTAGCACTCATGAATTCTATTACGTCTATATTTCCGAAAGCACAACATTCATTATGTAGATGGCATATTAACAAAGGAGTGTTGGCAAACTGCAAGAAGTTATTTGGGACCCTCAAACAATGGAAGCAATTTAATGAGGATTGGAATACTTTGGTTGGTTCAGAAACGGAAAAGGAATATTGGCGTTGTTTGTGATAGATTGAGTCTAAGTTCAGTGAATTTCAAAAAGCTCTTGAATACATACATGAAAATTGGTTAAATCCATTTAAGGATAGGTTTGTGGCTGCATGGATAGACACTTGTATGCATTTTGGATCGACGATCTCAAATAGGTAAGTATTTTAGTCAACTTTTGATATGTTAATTTGAAAATTTATTTTGCTTCAGGAAAATTTATTATTGTTATCAACAGAGCGGAAAGTGCACATGTAAAGTTGAAGCGACAGCTCCGCTCAAGCCAACTTAACTTTGAGAGATCATGGGTAACTATACACTCATTGTTAGAGCTAGAGCACACAGAGATTAAGGCATCTTTTGAAAAGAGTTGATGTTTTATTCAACATAGGTTCAGGCATCTGGAGTTGAGAGAGTTAGTAGGTTTTGTTTCTATAAAGGCTTTGAGTGTAATTGTGTGCGAGTTAGAAAGGTAAATTCAGTTTACTTATTGCATGTACATATATGGTTTACAGAGTTAACATTGTAATTTTTTTGCAATCATGTTAGAGACAGATGGGGTGGATGCTTTATCATGTGGTTGTGCTATTCGTCGAACCCACCAATTACCATGTGCACATGAAATTGCGGAGTATAGAGAGCATGGTGTACCAATACCACTTTATGTCGTGCATTCACATTGGAGGAAATTAGATATCATCAATATAGGAAACAGTAATCATGGCACAACTTCACCAGGAAGGTCACAACTACAAAGATTCAATATGTGGTATGAACAACAAGATGGTGAGAAGAAGAGACAAGCCCACATGACACTGGAGGAGCTAATGAACCCTGGTTATACTGCGCTTACTGAACCAAAAGAGAAGTTGAAGACCAAAGGGAGACCGCGAAAAGTCGACACTTCTACTCGTCGTTTGCCATATGCATTTGAGATTGCTAAGGCCTCCATTGCTCTACCTAAAAATAAACCAAAGCAAAGCCTCACTGCCTCACTCAAAATAAAACCGAAGAAAAGTACCATTGCAGTGCCAAAAAAAAGAAACATAGCTTGACCGGTCGTTAACTTAAGATGCAGTGGAGATCCACCATAACATGGAACAGTGTTCGGTGGTGTATTGTTGAATTTTTACCTACAATTCAGTGGCAACGAACCGAATATATTTATTTTTTCAGTAACTTATTGTCGACCACAAATTTAATGTAAGCTATTTTGACCTTACTCCCATTGAAGGAACAAAAACAATGTGACACCCTTAAAATAGATGACACATCATCCAATGTGATGGTCATCTCACCAAAAGACATGTGAAAGATGTTCGTTTCGGGATGCCACCTCTCAACAAATGTAGATACCACAATCTTATCAGTATTCCGATAAGAACACCTAATAAGGTGCTCTAATCCAGATCTCTGAATGTACCCTTTGAATATACCATTATTTGGATTACCCCACCAATTCCACTCACGAAGGGTAGATGTTTTCGACATGCACCTAGTTAAACAAAACAAAAAAACAAAATTAAGGTTAGTTACCATGAACCAGACTTATATTCTACCTTCTATTGTCACAGTAAAACGACGTACTTGGTTATTCCAAATTGCAGCAGCTAAGTGAGTTTTAAAACTCGTAAGTAAAGATGGATCAATGGGACCTACTCGAGATGGCTCAGTAGGCTCGGCATGTACCTCAACATTACTATCCTGAGTAGTAGCTACATCTTCAACCTCTGCGTCAACATTACTGTAATCAGTAGGAACTACATCTTCAACCTCTGTAGTATCCTCAATATGATCTTGGGGAGCCGCTCTTTGTCTCCTCGCTGAGGCCGTGGGACGCTGTCTATTAGGTCGGTATGATGAAGCTTCAGTAGTACCCCTGCGAATCCTCTTCATATCTAAAAATAAACAATATTAAGTACACACTCAGTAACGTATTCGGTACATAATCACTGAAAAACGGAAATAAATTCGGTGGACAATCACTAAAAAAAGAATATATATTCGATGGAGTACCACTGAAAAACAGAAAGAAATTCGGTGGGAGTCCCCTGAAAAATAGAAACATTTTTTGTGGACTACCACCGAAACAAGGTAACAATTTCGGTGGTAACCCATCAAAAGTACAGGTTCAATTCGGTGGACTACCACTGAAGCAATGTAATCATTTCGGTGTTAATCCACCGAAACTAGAATCCATTTTCGTAAAACTAGGTTTGAACTACCCAGAACCTTGAAATCAAAATCAAAATCAATATCAGACTTTGACTTTTCAAAAGTGAAATCAAATGTAGGCTTAATCAACACTTAGAAACGTAAATATATAAATCAAATTTGAAATCAAACCTTGAATAAGGATTTGTGAGAACTTGACCTTCAATGGCTTTCGGGTTTGCAGAGATGGAGATGGATGTGATGGTTCTGTTTCAGAGATGGTTCAGGTTTGCTGGAGGCAATGGCAAAGGGCTTCTTCGATGGTGAGCAAAGATCTGCGATGGCAAAAGGATGAGTTCTTTGATGTTCTGCGATGGAGGCGATGGCAAAGGGCTTCTTCGATGGTTCTGCGATGGAGGTTGGTGTAAATGGGATGGGGTGTGCGATGGGGTGTGTCTGCAAGAGGAGAGAATTTTCGGTGGGGTGTGGCTGGATATCAGATGGGGTGGGGTGTGGCTAAAAAGGAAGGGGGTTTTCGGTGGGTGGTTAGGGAATGGGGTTTATGAGGGCAATTTAGGGAAAAAAAAGGTTTAATGAGTAATTTGAAATTTTATTAAAATTTAGTGGGGTGTAAAAAATTATGGGATGTAAAGAGTAATTTATGGGGTTCTTATAGAATTTCCCTTTCTTTTTTGTCAAACCCTTCCGTTTGGATGAAGGAATTGCAAATTACATAGAATTTTAAAATGATGGAATTTAGATTTCCGTCATTTCAATTTCTGGCAATTGAAGATTTCAGTGTTTGGATTTATGTATGTCGAATTTTGTAAATGACATAAATTAAAAATTTCAATGTTTGGATAGCTCATGTAAATTATAAATGAAAGAAATGAAATATTTCGAAAGAACAAAAAAACTAATAATCGACATAGAAGGTATTCCTCGAAGTATGAAATAACATATTATTTGATGAACTAAATAACTCAACTTAAACAAAGAAAGCATATTAGCAAACCAAATCACTTCCCACGTGCAATGAACATCAGTAACATACTTTCTTTCTTTTTCTCAATTGGGAGTGCCTATGGAATTAGAACTAGAAGCAATCAGCAATCAAGACCCTGATACTTCTTTTTCACTTGGCAAAAGACCAATGACCAGAGAAACTGAAAGGGCTGTGATTAAAAAGTTGCAAACAAAAGTATAGGAATAAATGATGAAATCAATGAATCACTATCATAAGACTTAATTCAAGTCCCAAATAATTAAGGAGCACCTTGGCCAAGCTGCAGCATACGGGCAAGTTGGTGTAGCTTACAATCAACATCTAATGGCTCACACAAAGCGATAAAGCTAACAAACAACTATAGAGCAAGGCGATAACACAAAGTGATAAAGCTAGCAAACAACTACAGAGATGTACCATAAACACCAATCACACACCAATATCAATGGGCATAGAGTATTTTGTTAAAACTTCCCAAAAATTCAGCCATAGTGCCGCAAAGATCACAAAACCAACACATTCATAAATTTAGTCAGAAATACCCAATTTTGATAGCCATTCAGAAACCATGGTAACCCTAAAATAAAAAATATATAAATTGAAGGAGAGAAAGGCTTGAAGACTAACCTTCAAACTTGATCCAAAGAGCCAAGTAACCCGAAGAACTCCTTCTCCTTACTTCTCTAGCTATACTCGGTTTCATAGGTTTTTGGTGCTTGTTTTTTTTTTTTTAATAAAAAGTTTGGTGGGTTTTTTTTTATGTAAGTTTTGGCACACTGGAAAATATGAATTCCCACACTACAGAAATTGTGAAATGACGCCTATTTTGGTGGAAATTAAACTCGGAAATTTGATGCCTCAATTTCCATGATTTTTTCCACGCATCATTTAATAAGTTCGGCGTTTAAGTTGCCAAACAAGGGAATTGTCAATTTCTCTTCTTCAATTCCCGATTTTTACCTAAATTCCGAGTTATTTTCCCTCATCCAAACGGAGGGTTAGTGAGTTTTCGTTATTCTCTTCTCGCTAGGGTTCTCTTTTCTCAGAATCTCCAAAATATTGGTTCAGCGTCTGATCAAGGTCACACATCAATGGCTGACAAAACAGCCATTCGTTCCAAAAAAACAAAACATAGCAGAACAAGTTGGTCCGAACTTCCAATTGACCCTTTTGAATTGATCTTATCAAAACTGTCCCCAGGAAGCATACTGCGGCTCGAAGTAGTTTGTCGTCCATGGCTTAAGGCCATCAAATACATCTCACGCTCATCGCCGTCCTTCACTTGCTTACCAGAGCCGCCGCTGCTCCTTGCTTTTCAAGACGAGGGCAAAGATGGTGTTGGTTTTTACAGTCTTGAAGGCAAGTTTTACAACATGCCTAAACAGTTATGCGATGGAGATAGTATTTGCATTGGGTCCTCTCACGGCTGGCTACTTTTCTTGAGCAACAAGAAACAACTGCTGCTCTTAAATCCAGTATCTGCAGGGATCCAGCTTCTGCTCCCACCACTTGATACTTTTCTGTATAGCATTGATCCAGTAATTGTTCTCCAGAAGTCTGGGAGACATTGGCGACAAAGGATGCTCAAGGTTGCTGTCTCTTTGCAACCAACCTGCGGCAACAAAAAAAGCATTGGGGTCTTGCTAATGTACAATTACCACGGTTCCATTGATGGGTGTAACTGTCTTGCTTTCTGCACGCCTGCGGATAACAAGTGGACAAAGCTTGCCGGGCAGAAAGCGTATGTTGATGTTACGAGCGATCACAATGGCTTCTATGCCTTAAACGTAGATTACAGCGTTGAAGTCTGGGATTTCACCAATTCCTTGATTCCCATAAAAAAAAAGTTGGAAATTATCCCAGCTGGTGCGCCCTTGGAACTAAAACTAAATAATTGGTTCCCAAAGCCCTGCATAGCCAAAACTGGGGCAAGTGATCTGTTCTTGGTTCAGAGGATCAGTTCTTTGCCCATCCTCCCGGTTCCATTCATTGTTTATAAGCTCGAATATAATAATCGGGATGGTACATGTACATCTGGATGGACAAAGGTGGAATCCTTTGGCAACCAGGCATTGGTTTTGGGTTCGAATCAGTCCATATTCGTCACACCCCAGGAATTTGATCATGAGAACTCAATCTACTTCACCTATGCACCATCTTATGACACCTGTTTTTTATGCGTGTATAATTTGAGAAGGAAAAACATAAAAAGAGTCAGTGATGATCTTGGATTAACAGGGCTTGAAAAACAAGTTTACTGGCTTGAACCTCGTCTTTTTAGCACGGTGGCTAGCTAGGCTAGTTAGGAACTTGGCGTGATTATTGTTAATCTTTATTGCTAGTTAACTTATAACAGTATGGCTTTATTTTGTTAACTTTGTGCTCATGTTATAATATGCTTTCTTCGAGTAGTTTAGAAAACCTTGCGGTTTGGTTTGTTCTTTCTAAACTCCCTTGTTTCCATATGTATTTGTTTCTCAACATTTCTTCCTGTAAACTTTACTATTCCTAGTCTCCGTTTCCTTCTTGTCTTTGATCATAAATTGCATCTTCTGCATTTTGAAACCCAACTTTGTCATACTATCCAGAGCCACAGGCATCGTTTGTAATCACTCTTGTATAAGGGTTTAATTGGTGTATATTCCTTTCTTTTGATTGTTTAATACAAGCAACATTTACGAATGGGGATTTAAACACAAGACTTCGGTGCAACCGTGCAGAGGTGAAATGTGACGGCCGGAACCCATCCAATTAAAGTTCATCAAGAAGGCTTCCCAATTGACCCAAACTGGTTGCCAAGCACTCTTAAGCCAACCTAGAAGGTTACTTATTACCTATCTAGCATGCTAAATGCAAAAACTCTGGCATATGAATAAAAATTCTAGACAAACCCAACGTGGCCATACCAAGTCGAAAGCCGCAGACTCGGTTGTGGATTTTTGCCTCCTCAGCTATAGCAATTCAAAGTGCGACACAAGCTTTCAGGATTCCTATTATATCTTGAATCAATCATGTGTAGCTCCACAGTTTGCAGTCACACGAAAGTATAAACTGCTAGATTCTCTATGATACAACCCTTCCCCCTCACCCCCTGGCGGCTATAAAAGAGGGCATCCTAACTCAAGAACCTATAGTGTACTCCAGAACATAACTCGAGCAACCTGTGGCGTATCCCAGACTGCCATAACTTGAGGACCTAAGGTGCACCACAGACCACCATAACTCGAGCACATAAGGTGTACTATAGACCACCAAACAACTAAGAGTACCCCACTAACCAACCATTTTAAACTTTCATATAGATACCTCTGCAATAGAGAAAACAATAAGCAAGACTAATAATGGTTTGAGGTTTCAACCTCAATTCATAAGCAACTAGAGCTCGATGCACATGGAGCACCGAGAAATCGAAATAGCACCTAAGAAATAAGGAATGACAAGAAGTGATTAGACTAAATGGCATAACCACCATGAATGCACAGACACTGAGTCATGACATCATATAACACAGAAAAACCTGGATCAAATGCAAAATATGCAAGAGACTGAACAGCATAGACCAAATGCATACGGCATATAGATATGCCAATGTTGCAAAGCAGAACCATAATTCCACGTGGTTACTGCATACAAAGCCAGAATTAGCATGGAAACAAAAGTTCTCAAATGTTGTTCATCACTGAATCATTACCATTGACTCAACAAAACCTTCACATACCCACTTCTCTTTTGCCTTTCCTCACTCTTCTAGACAACCCAAAACAGCTAATACTACACACCATTTGCAAAAGCCCCAAAAAAATAATCCCATTAACACACATAAGCAACCAATTACTTTCTGATTTGGAACAGAAACCACGCAGAGCTTAAAAACGCCAACCAAACAGAACGAAAACCATCCATCATTCACACAGCAATCACATATAGCATAAACACAAACTAAAATCCATATCTATATATAACCAATTTTTCAAAATAACCATCCATCCATTGATACTGCATATACTATTTTGGCCAATTAAAGACGAAACTTCATCCTAGCCGAAACCCTAGAAAACAGAGCAAATCGAAGCAAATCATTACATGGGTTCGATGGAGAAGAAGCTGCGGTTGGTTCAGTTGATGTCGGTGTCGTCGAAATCGTCCTCGAAGGAGTTGAAGAAGTCAGCGTCGGCCAGCTTGTTCTCGCCGATGACACCGTCGGCGAAGCTCTCGAGTGTGTCAACATCGTCAACGTCCATGGCCATGGTGGAGCCCTGGTCGTCCATGTCGCCGAAGAAGTCCATCGGAGTCGGCCTCATGGCTCCAAACCTTCTCTCTCTCGCGGAAGCTATGGCTATGGAGCGCCTCACGTTTTGGTTCTCGGCAGGGGAGCTCGCTTTTTGTCTTGCTACTGGCGACGACATGTCGTTTCCTTCTTATGTTTTTGTACAATTTATCACCGACTCTTTAATTGTAATTTTCTAGTTTTCTTTTCCTTCTAACATCGGTTCAACTTCTAAATGGATTTACTTTGATTTAGTTGGCCTGCGTGACCTCGTTGTTTCCGGCTGTAAGGTTTCGTTTTTCTATAAATAAATAAAAACTTTTAAATGGATAGGAAAAAAAAAAAAAACTTTAAAATCGATGATGAACAAAAAATCAGTCAAGAATAATTATACCTGTAAATTTTTAGGAAAATATCCTTGAGCCTCCCCCTCTCTTGATTCTCAAACTCTTCTTCAATGCCCCTCCTCTATCGAGTTGTTGTTTTCTTATGTAAAAATAGTCACCTGCACATTATTTATACCAATTTAGGTCTTATTTAAAATAAATAAAAATACCAGGTTAGGTTTTGCAATTATATAGATTTTTTTTTTTTGGCTAATGTCACTTCGAGTAGAATTTGACAAGAAGTTAATGTGCATGATCGTGATATGAGTAATGTTTTGATGTAACTGAATTCGATGTGGTATGGTGTTACTAATTTCGTCAAATCATTCCAATACATATTATAATTTGAGTGAATACCACCTCAACATGTCGTTTAGTGTTACTATCACGTACAATAACTTGATTACTTTAACATGAATTGAGACAGAAACCAAAAAGAAATAAGAAACCTTAAGAATCCATGGTGAATGACAAATCCTGTCAGTAATATGTTATACATTCTTTTTATTTAATATAATGTATGAGTGTGTTGTAGTAGAAAACTATTAAGTAATTAAAAGTATCATACCTGCAAATTTTGTATGAAATTATGCGTCCTCGAGCCTCCCTCCCTTTCTTCTCAAACTCTTTCTTCCTTGTCTCTCTTCTCTGTCTCCTGTTCATCCTCCTCTTTGAGTCGAATGAACCTAAAAGATGGGAACAATATAATTGGTGAAAGAAAGCTACAATTGGTCAACACCACGAGAGTCAAACGGCCACAGATGATGGAATTGGTAAGCGTAAAATTATAACTTACAGCTAAAAAATTGTAAAGCCTATTTACCCACAAAAATAAAAATAAAAATCGTGTCTAGGGGACAACAAATAATCAACTCATCTTTACTTGTTTAGTATGAAAGTAAAGACCAATGCTTTTTTTTTCCCCCAAAGTTATGGAGGGGAAAGAGAGAAACCTTATACTTTCCATGATCGCTTGGGAGCGCACAAAAACTTAGGCCAATCTAACTAACACCCCATTTGTAAAGCTAAAAACCAAATTGAGTTTACCTAAGTTAGTTCTAATGACGTGAGAATGTGGAGTAATGAGTTAGGAATATGATAAATAAAAAACAAAAACAAAATAATAATAAAAACCAAGTTAATAAACTCTAATTGGAATGCAAGGATTATCTAGATCATGCCCCATAAAACCTTTTTTTTTGTCTTTTTTGTTGTTGGTATTTTTCAATTTGGGGATTCAGTTCGTGTTAGAACTAAAAGCATCTCCAAGGGAGATGTCAAATGCAAAATGTTAAATTTGAATTTGATGGCTTATTTGGCAATTTGATGCTTTGAAAAAAATTTAACTCTACCCTTTACCAAATATCATATTATTTTATTATATTTTAAAAATAAATGGGACTCATATGATGTATAAAGTTTTAAAAGAGAGTAAATGATAGTGGGGTCTATGACTAAAAAATATTGGGGATTTCACTAAAACACCCAAAATGGGGGTTGAAATTATAAAAAAACCCAAGCACTATTTAAAAATATAAACACACCCAAAACCCATCATTACACACACTCAAAACCCATTTATAAACACACCCAAAAAGTTGACTTTGGGGTTGATTTTGGGTGTGTTTCTATGTTTAAATAGTGCTTGGGTTTATTTATAAATACATGTCTAAGATTGGGTTTATTTATAAATTTGTAAAAAATATTTTGATATGTTATTTTTGACATACCTCTTCCAACCTTCAAATTCATGTGGAATTTAACTGCTCGGTTGGAGCAATTTTAATCTTCAATTTTTGTTATTTCATGTCCTTATGGCAATTTGACATATCGATTGGAGATATTCTAAGTCATGTCCTTTTCTACTCGGCTAGAAACCACTAGTGTAATGTTTTTATTTTCTTTAAAGAAAATAAAAGAAATCGCGGCTTTGAGAAAAAGTTCGGAATTTATTTTTGTGACCGAGAAAGAATTAAAGATTTTTTTTGGGTAATAAAGTTAGAGATGTTTTAATTGGACAAAAGATAACAAGAACGTGGCAAATGGAAGCTCACACCGCCAATGGAGAGCAGTGTCCTCCTTCTCACACAGCCTCATCCATGGCGACCCAAATATTCCTTTCACTCTCTCTTTCAAAACCCACTTCCTTCGTCTCAACCAAGTCGCTCCTACACTCCTAAGTACCGTCGTTGGGATTCCAATGCCGAAACCATTCGGTCCCAAAGATTCGGTTTTAATTTAAGAGACAAAGGCAACAAAGAAGAAGAAGAAGATGCTGATGGCGACGAAGAAGAAGAAGAAGACTACAATTACAATGGAAGTCAAGAGAAGAAGAAAAGGCGGTGGTGGTCAGATGATTACTCGGAGACGGAGGAAGGCTCTGGTGGAATCTTGGATGAAGCCATTGATAGTGTCTGGATTCTCAAGGTTCTAACTTTCACTTCATTTTTGGTTATTTGTATAAATTGGGATTTGGGATGTTGCAATTTTTGGTTTGACTTGTCCAAAAAAAAAAACAAAAGAAAGAAAAAAAAAAAAACCCAGATGTTTTAAGTATTAAAATGCATCAATACTTTAGCTGGGTTTTGTTGCATGTTTCAGTGAGAGGAAGCCCTTTCTTTTTTTCTCCCTATTGTCATGATACTTGCATTTCCCATATGTGTGAATGCCCCCATATCAGGTTCATACTCAAATGATAGAAATCACTGTGAAAAATAGATATTGTGTTCTGTTCTTTGCTATCTTTGGCTGCTTTGGGTTGTATCCAGAGTTAGAAGTTAAACAAAATCCTTCTTAAACAAAAATTTTGTAAGATGAAATATATTTTCTTTTTGGTGGGTGCAGGTGTTCAGATCCTATGGTTGGGCATTTCCAGCTATTATCGTATCTTTGCTGCTCTCTACGGGTGCAAAAGCTTTCCTCATGGCTTTAGCATTCCCCCTTTGTCAGTCAGCATTTTCACTGGCATTTGAGAAGTTGTGGGGAGGAACACAAAGTAGGCCAAAACGCAAGTCCAAGACCAGGAGGAGAAGGAAACCATTTGCCAGCACTGTAGATAACGTTAAAATGGATGAAGAACAAGAAACTAGCAACAAAAAGATGGATTATCAATCTTGGGTAGTAGGCAATGATGTCTCAGTTGATAATAGTGGCCAATATGCATCAGGTCTTGGTGGGTGGGATGATCTTGAAAGAATTGAATCTGCACGGAGGCAATCTCGAAGAAAGCCGATGGGGAAGGGTAAGTTGAGTAAGAGAGAAAGGAAAAGTGACACACCTCTGCTGTTCAGGTTGTTGATTGCTGTTTTTCCATTTTTGGGTTCATGGACAAAGATGTTTTGGTGAATAGAGAATACAAACCAGCAGTCAACCTGGAGAATGACTTTCACTGGTTGGCCTGGAAGTGTAGAGATCAAGCACTACAAGGCTTTTTGCTCCTCCTCTTACATGACATTCGGATCCCGTTTACATCAGTTGAAGCTAAGATCAAGGAATCAAGTTTCAGACAGAGCCAATTTGTGTACATGATGGTTTTCGATGGCATAATTAAGCCATTTTCTTCGTACGTCTAGCTTGGATGCTGAAGCTCTATCAGTATCCATATGCCATCGTATATACTCGAGAGTACAAGTTCATGGTACATTTTGTTCCATACAGTGTAGAATTTGGTATTTATCTCATAAGGAATTTTCTCTTCTTATGGTACAGTTTAGATAACTGCAGAAATTTGTGGTTTACAGTTCCAAGACGAGGTAAATCTAAATATTCTACCTGGAAATGACTTTCATTGGATAATTAAATAAATAAACCAAATAAGCATTTGTTCTCTGTGGGTTGCAAGACAGTGGCACAACTAATCCACATTGACATGGTAAATTTCTTTAATTGATTTTAATCAAAGACAATACATAAACAAATAAAACCTTGACAGAATGTCAAACTACACATGAAAACAAAAAATTGTCAACTTCCTGTACTGTAAACAATGCTAATGCACAAAAAGAAAAAGGAAGGTCTTGTCTTCAAAGGGGATACTGTCATCTTGCAAACAGCTCGACCTTGTTGCAAGCAGATGCAGGATCTTGGAGGCAGTTACAAAATGCCTCCTCATCTTTGGGGAATGAGGTTGGCAAGGGATGGTCTGGAACCACACCAACCTATAAGAAGCAATGTGGGCAAAGTTAATTGAGAGAGTGAGAGCAAGAGAGAGAGAGAACAGAGTTAATTGATAGAGAGATAGAGAAGATAGCATCAGACCTTATCAATATCTGTGTGAGCAGGTGTCTCATAACGAGCAACTGTAACAACCAACCCGGAGCCATCAGACAGCTCAAAAACTGACTGAATCTTCCTGCATAGTGGGATGGATGGCTCAAGTCAGGAATGCATGATTATATTTATAGGAACTGTGTAGAGTAAAAAAAAATTTACCCTTTCCCAAATGTGGGCTCTCCAAACAACACCGCACGTTTATTGTCTTTCAATGCCCCAGCTAATATTTCACTTGCACTAGCTGTGCCCTTATTCACCTGATGAAATCTCAGAAAAAACATACACCAATTTTTCACCACACAATTCTTTAAAGATAATGTTTCATGGGAAAGCACATGAAAACACCACTCAATATTAAAATCAGAAAGGGAAATAACAATGAATCCTAGAATTTAAATTACCCACTTTTCAAGAATGTCACATTCTAAAGCAATAAAACATAGATGAAACTATAGCAAGGCTCCCTGTTAATAAGATAAAATATCAAAAATGAAAAAGTGGGTCCACTATTAAACAGTATAGAGAGACAGGCCGGAGCTTGATGACAGATGGTCAAAATGATGACAACTCTGCACCATTAATAATAGCATTTGCAAATGTTTGCCTATGAATCACGGAATATAATTGAACAAATCTAGTTCATTGTATAATGTATAGAAGTATACCAGCACAGCCAAGGGTTCTGACGGTGCTACTGCTTTGCTTCCATCAGTGTCGTATATATCTCGAACACCACGACTATCACATATATATACAATCACACCTTTGTCCAACCTGGAAGGCAGCATCTAATTGTGAAAACTTAGAATATACTGGACCTGACATAATGCAGCGTAAGCTTAATTTTGAAAGACTAACAATGTCTTTTTTAAAAATAAAAAATAAAAAACCGAAACTCTATTATAGAAGTTTGTGCTGCAGAAATTTGGATCAAACATAATGGATTAGAATATTAATAATCAAAAGACCTCAAGCAATGACGTAGTAATCTGGTTGCTTTAATGGGTTTTCTTCTTCAACATCGTTTGGGTTGAATAATGAGGAAAGAAGCAAGTTTTCTCTTTTTTAACCCTTTATGCAATCTAAGAATCCTAGGCATGTTTCTTACAACTTTTAACTTGAAATTCATTTCGTCAGTATCTCTTATTATGCATGGATACGATTTATCCACCACATGTTCCAGAAAAAGAAAAAAAAAACCATACCAACAAACCAACAAACAGCATTTACTGATCTTGTGTTGTTTTTACCTGCAAATGACACTATTACAGCATAACACTGAAACATCACAGTTTCAAAACTTTGAGCTTAAC